CAAATGCTAGTTCTTCCATTTTGTGCAAAAGATTGTTAAAACCAGATATCACCTGTCACATTAACATCAAAGTTTTAATGAATAGGGACATCAGTGATGAAAGTGTATCTTTCCAAAATATATTTTATAACTTTTAAAACCGTCTCCACATATTGTCTGACAAATAAATATTATTGACTGGGGTTGTAAAGATGATTTTAAAACTGCCCAACTCCTTGTGTCGGGGATGAAAAAATGCATACATTTCACTGATAATTGCCCCAAAGTCGCTGCATTCAGATAGCAGTCAACACCTGAACAACTCAACAAATGTAATCAGTGACAAGCACAAAGACTACATCTTGGAAATTTTGTTACTTTCGATGATTTCTTGTTGCATATAATTATATCTACCAGACATGTTGGCAGCATTGTCATAAAGCTACCCTCGGCATTTTGGAAGGATTTCAATTTCAATCTCTTTTAAACAATTAATCAGCCATGATTTCTCCCGGTCGGTCGTTTAACTTTAGGAAAGTTAAAAATCCATCCGTTGGTAAACTATGTTCAAGTGATACATACCTGATAAGTAAAGTCACCAGTAGATCAAATGACAGGGAGTTGGAAATGACTGACAATCTGAAATACCCAACCTTTTCAAGTTTGCCAAAATTGCGTCCTCTTTTTTTCTATGATTTAAATCATTTCTTTACATACAAGAGAAATATCAAGTTTCGTAACTAGCTTTAGAAAACAAGATAATTCCTATTAATTGGAGATAGAAATTCCTCGTCTCCTATGAAAGTTAAACGTCATTCTTTATGACTACATCGATATTTCTCTTCATGGCATACCCCGCCAGTAAAGCTGTTTAGACTTTATTTGTTTCCTTTGTAGTTGAACTTTAGCAAACTGTCAAATCAGAGGTCAGCAATGTTCTCTGGTCCCCGAATGTCAGTCAACACATTCTTGCTTCACCAACTTCTTCTACGTGCCATATCCCTTCTGGACGTTAGCGATCAAGGCTCTCCATAATTTCAACTCCTTTGTAACTTAGTAAATTCTAGCTTTTTGTTATCTCTCCTAACCCTTGTTAAATCAACCCATGTACACGAGTTCGTTAGGTTGGCGATGTGCTATTTCCTCTGTCCATTTAATCTGTTTTGTGAGTGCCAAATTTGCCACGTTCTCTTTCTTCGTTGTGTACCCTAGAAATTTCATCTGTCTCTTTATAATACTAAATATAAATAGTTTCGTTTCCATTTTCTCTAAAACTTTGTTGTTTTCACATGTTCAATCCATGTTATTCTCAGCATCCTTCTGTAGAATCACGTTTCTGTTGCTCCAAGTGTCTTCTTCATCTAGGAGGACTGATATTACGTAACAGTTCAGTACTCTTTTCTTTTGTTTGTAATTTTTTCCTTTTTCTTAATATTTTTCTTAGCTTTTGGAAGGCATTTTCGCTAATGCATCTTCAGATTTTGGTGTTTCACTATCCGTCCTCTGTTAAAACGTTTTCCAGTTATTTAATTTTTTGTATTTGCTTCATTTTGGTATCTACAATTTGTAATTTACATGATGGAATCTTCTTTTTGCTGAAAACCATGCAACTAATAATCCCGAGTTCTTACTTTGTCTACAACAGTGACTGTGATAATGTGAAAATATGGTACGTCTTGGGTGGATGCCCCCATGATTTTGAGGCACTAAACTTCAGTCTTCTAAGCCTATATAAAATTTTAAACACACACACACATATATGTATTTAAAATGTCTAAAAATTATCAAATCTCTCACAAAAAATAAAAAGAAACATCTACAAACATCGCCATAATGTACTGGCCGTATTCGAGAATTAAAATATATTTCTACGTCTCAATAACTTGCACAGAATTTGAAATGATACAACCATATTACTTGAAGATGGTTAATAGAATAGCCAAAAGCTTTCAGAAAGAACAATTGGTAAACTTCTGAATACACTACGTCTCAAACATACCTCTTGTTCGTGCACAATAAAAACAAAATAAACACACTTAACCATAGTGTATCAGCGAGGGATTACTGGTAAAATATACAATAATAATTTGCAGAAATTGTATTGGTTGTTCCAATAATTTGGTTTTCTGGGTTGTTATATATATATATATATATATATATATATATATATATGTGTGTGTGTGTGTGTGTGTTTTGGGTGGGTGTCTGTGTATTCGAACGTGTGGATAAAACTCCTTATTTTCACGAATGTCGTTAATTTCTCATTTCGACGCCATCAAATCTTACCCACTTTAATAAAATATACTCACTTTAATAACATCAGCAATGCTTGTTGATATCATATTTGAGCCTGAATGCTTTTCCCGGGAAAATCTGACAGCCAATCAGTCAATCGTAAATGTTACCTGGTTTTCCACCATCTGGACTCTTGGCGATGGAAGCATTCTCTTTCATTTGTTCTGTGTTTAACATGAAATCTGAACCATTTAAATGTTTTGCCTGTATTTTTATGAGCAATGCTCAGAGATATTTATGCTTAACGATTCTCATAGGAAGTAGACTGTGAAAAGTATGTGTGCTTAAGTAATTGTTTTCGTGTTCCAGCTCTCTAAAACGTTTACTGGCTTCTCGTATTATTGTATTCAGTTCTCATGTCGAATGGCAAGAAGCACAATTTCCATATTCATTAAAAATTAAACATATAATATGAATCGATTAAACATTTGATGCAATAACGATTCATTTTAATTTGAAATGCTTGAAATGATTTTGCTTTGAAATGGGTGTTTGGTTAAAATGAACGATTAATTCCAAACTGTTCTGTCTTGACATCATGTTTTCAGTTTTGCTAAGTATATTATTCTACTAATCGGCGAAATATAAATCATATCCTCATTGAAAATTTATCTTTATGATGAGTGTTTATCCCAGACAGTTTCATTAAATACTTTATGCTTCTCATTGAAAGGACATCAATCACTTGAGGCACGAATATAAATAGCAAGAAAGAAACAAGTTCAAAAGCGTTGAGGATCGGAAGTTCTTTTTGGACATTGTTAAATTGTCTACCAAATCCAATCCTTCTATTAACAATAATAATAATAATAATAATAATAATAAGAAGAAGAAGAAGAAGAAGATAAATAAAATTATGGGATAATAAATAAGACGATAAGATAATAGGAGAAAATAAAATGAAAAGCTGAATAAGACAAACGAAGTGAATAAGATTCGAGATTCGAGAAATTCTGCATTATATTAAGAGCGAGGAGAAGATTGCTAAACAGCATAACGCGAACGTGAAACCAGACTTACTGAGACGAATCAAAGAAAAGACGTTATGCTAACCAACGGATATAATCAAATCTTGAGGAGGCTGGAAAGTTAATGAGAACACGAAGGAAATATGGAAAATATTAAAAAATGAAATAGATACGATAAGATAAAAAAAGAAAAAAGAAGAAGAAAATCAAAACAATAAAACTTGAAAAAACTCCTTCTTCTTCTTCTTCTTCTTCTTCTTCTATGCGCCATATCTGTTCAGGACGTCAGCGGTCATGTCACCCCCCCACCCCTGCATCTTCCTATTCATTGTAGCTCTGAGTAATGTTTGTCTGTTTCCCATTCTACCCACCTCTTGCCTGCTATTCCTTTAAACAAGTTTGTTAGGTAGCTTATTTGTCTCTGTCCCTCTTGCTTTCAATATGCTCTGTGAGTGTCAAATTCTCCAAGCCCTCTTTCCTCATTATGGGTCCCAGAAATTTTAACAAACTCTCTCTGATCCAAAGCACAAGTGTCTTTTTTTGTTTTTATTTTACTTAAAACTTCCTCATTACTCACATGTTCAGTTCATGGTATTCTCGGCATCCTTCTGTAAAGTATTTTTGTTGCCTCAAGTATCGTCTTCATCTATGAGGAGATTGTCCAGCATTAACTGCCGTATAGGAGTACAGATATTACGTAATAGTACAGTACTCTTTTCTTTGTTTCTAATGAAATTTTCCTGTTTCATAATACTTTGCTTAGCTTTTGGAAGGCATCTCTCAATGAACCTTCGGATTCGGGTGTGACATTTTCCGCCCTCTGTTAAACACTTTCAATCTTGGAAATATCACTACAGATTCTGGTAAGCTTAGAACAGACTTGGAGAGATTAGCCTACATTTCAACGTAATCGATGAACATCGGGTATTCAGTGTGTGAATAATAATAATAATAATAATAATAATAATAATGAGAGTATGAAATTCTGAAAGTTTTGGAAGGACTCACAAAAAATAATTAAAGTACCAGTAAACATTGGAACACTGGGGTGTTGTTAAAAAGCAAGGAATAATGTTGTATATATTGGATTATGATTTGGAAATAAAGCCATTAGAAAAATCTTGCCTGCCCGGAATAATGAAGATACTTTAGACGGTATCGGGTCCAGCCTGTTGGGGAAAGGAAAAGAAATGATAGAGTAATGATCTGAAAATAATCTGATGCTACATTGGGCGTGACTCTCATAGCTTCTGATTTTAACTGATTGGACGTGTTAATTACATGTTTTGTCTTGCTGTATTGAGATGGACTGCAATAAATATATCCAGTTCAGTACAACAGATTGACTTGTCGGCTGCCTTCAGAGTTCGGCATGTTTCCTACGGGATGATGGACTGGGCATCTCTGTTCATGAACGCGAGTAGTGGAGCGGAATTCATGTCCGTCTGTGGAAAGGGTTGATTTCTTTAATCTTGAAGAATGAAGCAGCAAAGGCGACCTATGAGTTAATTTAGTACTTGGGGAATTGGAGACTTTCTGGTGGAAACGGGCTACCCAACTTGAATGTATTTTAAAATAGATCTTACCTGCTTCTTTTATCAAAATCTGTCTCCCTATCGTGCATATTTGACTGCCCCTTATGATTAAAAGAAAAGAAGACTGGGTGTCATAATGATCCTATTGGGTTTTATATATTTGTACACTTTGTTGACATGTATCTCTCGCATTCAATACTACTACTACTACTACTACTACTACTGCATCCAGTCGTGAAAAGGAACTGGTAGAAAGGGGAAAGAAGCAATCGTACGGAGAAAAAGGAAGAAGGAGAACGAGCTGAGGGAAGAAAGAGAAATTGAGAGATGAGAGACAAAGAATATAAAGGAGAAAGTGTAGGGGAAGAAAAGAAAAAAGAATAGGAAATTAATAAATGAAGGAGCGAGAAGAAAAAGAAAGAGGTTGAAGGGGAGGAGGAAAATGAAGATAGAAGTTGGCGAATGAGGTTAAAATAGGAGGGAGAAAAATGAATGAGTAGTAGGGACTGAAGAAGTAAAAGGAAGAGGAGAATAAGATTGAAAAGTAAGATGAAGAAAGAGTAAAAAAAATTCAAATTAATTTTAGGTGCAATAAAAAACAGAATAAATAGCAGAAGAAAGCAGGAAAAGAAAAACAAGGAAAAGGAAAATAAGACGAAAAAGAAGACAAAAAAGAAAAGAAAAAACAACGGGAAAAAAGAAGGAGGATAAGAAAAAAAGAAAGAGATTAAATCAAAACTTGAAAGCGAAAAAGAACAAAAGAAGAATGATCGAAAAAAGAAATAAGAAAAAAAAAACGAAGAGATATACTTGAAGATAATAAAATAAGAATAGAATACAAATAAAAATATAATTGCTACAAAAGAAATTGCAACAGAGTCAAATAAAAAAAATAAGATAAAAAATGAATAAAATCTAACTAAAGTCAAAAATACCCTTTGTCAGACATCCCGAATCTAAAGTCATCATTGTCATTTATGTCAACTGAATAACATCTTCTTTTTCAGCATTTTGACCTGCGCGCCTTTCTCTCCAACTGACAGAACTTGTCACATTTAATCACCATACATTCAGTCATTACATAAGACCCGAAACCAGGCTGTTGGACGACAGTAATATATTGAAACGAAAGTACACAAGCTTAAAAAAATGGGAAAAAATAAGAAAGAAGAAGGAACTCTTACGAAAGAAAACGAAACGAAAATACCGACTTGTTCCAATTTTCGTTATTTTTATTCTTGTATGCAACTTAAATGTTTTCTTTTCATCTTTTTTTTACTTTTATTAAAATTCTTGACATTTAGCATTTTTCCCTTTTCATCTATTTTGCTTCTATTGTGAAATAGCAGGAAATGGTTCCACTTTCAGCATAGTTATTGGGTAAGTTGGGTTATTCTTAGTCAGGCATCGTATCTTATTCCTCACTCTGTGCCAAAATATCTATGCATCAGAATTATATTTCTTCTTTCTGGAAGCCAGAGCCGCATTATTATTGTCATTATTTGCTTACGATTTCTACTTTCAAATTTCGTCAGATACTTTTACCTACCTAGCAGAACCATGTCACATTCAGATAATTGTCGTAAGAGGAGGGTTTGTTCCTTCAACATTGCCTTGAACTTTGCATACCTCCGTAAGCATGCGCAGCGAACCATTTACATTCCATGTTTGAACCTATGAGTGAATATAAGGAAGAGGCGCGCACATCACAAAATAGACTTTTATATATAAGCAATCAATCTATTTAGGAGGAATCTATCTATCTATCTATCTATCTATCTATCTATCTATCTATCTATCATATTTTGTTCATTATCTGCCTATCTATCCCAGTATATTCATCTCTCTCTCTCTCTCTATCGTAGCATGCTTATATTTAATTTTCTTTCGCCTCCATTTTATTCATTCACCACTCGCGTCCCTACTGTCTTCTCTCCACCATCTCCTATTCCCCCCTCTCTCTCTTTCTTCTAAGGCTTGTAAAAATAAATGTGCCAGTCAACCTTCTCTAGAGTTTTATCAATTCTTAAATACAATTTTTTCACTCATCACTTTCTTGATTGACTGAGAAAGTGATGACTGAAAAGATCTTTCTTCATTGATCTCTTTCCAACTGTTGGTCCTATTAGAGACGAGACAAAACTAATATTTCATTGACCAAACTCATATCTCGAATGTCTACAGACATAATAGATTATCTTAGTGAACTGATTTGGACATTTTGGGCTTGTTGTCAGGTTTGGTGTTCTATAACTTATGATGGAAAACTAAAACGTTTATAGTTACAAATCGGAAATTAAACATCACATCCAAAATAAGCGATAATCGACTGGAAATTTCAGATTATATGTTCTTCTGTAATTTCGTGGAGAAGGATATTATAGATTCGTAGTTGCAATTCTGTATGTGACAATATTTTAAATGATTCGCAGTCCTGGCAACACAACAAATGTTATAATTATCTATAATTATAAAGCGTGGTTCTATTTGAACAGCCAATTAACTCCTATATAATGGTCATAAAGTTTTACAACATATCAGATCTAATGGTCAATCGCTTTTAAAATTTTATAAATCAATTCGTGTAATTTTTAAGAAGACGACTAAGGTTTCCATTTTGGATGATCGATTTTTTTAGTTATTCATTGACTTCAATATAATTGTCATAAAACTTCAAATAATGTAAAAGTTAAATGGCAAACATTTAAAGCAACATTTTGAATAATCTTTCGTTGTATATCAATTCCTTTATAATGACTACGGAATTTTATGGCATATCGACATATAAAACGAACATTAAATTCTATGACGTATCGATTCCTATATGACAGTTCTTAAATTTTATAGCTTATCGTATCCTATATAATCATATATCGATTATTGTACAATGCATAACCAAACTTTCAAAAACATTAGATCCTCTACATCCTTTGATGACGAAATCTTTAAAAATCTAATCCAGGCTTCAAATGGCTGTTACCCTGACACACTAGAAAGATCCAATAAAGCTATTTACTTAAAGGTGACCTAAAAATGTGAGCGACATGTGCGTTTTCAGGACTGTAATGTTTCAATACCACCACCTTTTTGAACTGTCCTTTTGCTGCCTCTAACGAACTATACAAAAAGATGTTTTTCTAAGCCTGAAACGACACAACAATACTACATCGGCCAACAAACACGAATTCTATTCATCAATCAGATAAGACATTCTCCAATAAAATCGATAGGTCAAGACAACTCTAACAAGTAAACAAGCTAAAAACCACCTGCGGGAACGCCCTCAAAGAGCATGTGATTCTCAAAAGCTATTGTTCGTGAGTTCAACTCCTACTGGGCGCGCCACAAAAGCGTCTTTAGACCACATTTGTCTCAAGAATCAAATTCTGGATTCTTTTTTTATCATGCAGTCTTCGGCGTTGAATTAGATGTAGGTTCATTCAAATAAATACCAACCTGAACACTTTTTGCTTTTCAGACAAACGAGTTAAATAAAGATACTTCACTTGACATGACTTAATACAAATTAATATAAACTGAAACTTGTTTTCCTCATAAGTTACTCGATGAACCTTCCTAATAATAAAGGGTTTTCAAATATCAGGATATTTATCTTTTTATATAATGCACCAAGTGCATTTGTTCAGTTTTGTATACATTTAATACCCGTAATCTTTTTTGGCTGTACTAGAATATAATCTTTCTTGCACTGACAACACCAAGTGACAGTGCCTTTGTTATAAAAATGGCGAACTTTAGGAAAATGTTTACGAAGCCGGGAACGGAAAAGTCTAACTCTGTGGAAGAGAAGATTACCTTGTTTTGATATAGTTACTTCACACCTGTTTTGAACTGGACGTTCGCTTCTATTTAAAAATGTTCTCTGCATATTATTTAATCTCAGCATCCTTTGTTTATTGAAAGTTCCATTTTCTTTCTTGCCATTTTCCTTTCTCCTTTTGGTTGATTACTAAATTTATATTCTTTTTACAATTTCACAAAATACGTTCTCGGCATTTTGATAAAAAATCATGGAAAATGATTGCAAAATTCATCTTCTCATGATATATTAACTTTTTAAAGATAACCATAACGACATTTTTTACAACTGCATCAGCTAAGTTTATTATTCTTTCTTTCTTGCTTTCTTTTTGAGTTCTCATGTTTCTTTTTTTATTAATTTCTTTTAATGTTCTTGTGTATTTTCTTTCTTTCTTTTAGAGTTCCCATGTTTCTTTCTTTCTTTCTTTTTTTTAATGTTCTTGCGTATTTTCACTTTTCTTACTTCCTTTCTTTCTTACTTTCTTTCTTTCTTTCTTTCTTTCTCTTTTTTTTTCTTTCTTTCATTCGTTCTTTTAGTTCTCACGTTTCTTTATTCGTTTCTTTTAATGTTCTTGTCTATTTTCTTTCTTCTTTCCTTCTTACATTTAAGGTTCCGTATTTTTCCTCTTTTACTTTTCTCTTTTTCTTTCTGTTAAAGTTATCAGATTTCTGTTTCGTTCTTTGTTTTCTCTTTCTTATCTTTAGTTTTTCACTGTAAACAATAACCTTTTGCCAGTTGTCCTGACACCAACGGACAAGAGATGCACATCCCTTCTGCAAATGGCTACCCCAGACATAAAAACCACCTAATTAAGAAATCAGTTCTGTTTCTGCCTCCTACGCGAGAAGGCAACGACCGCCTCTGATATATACAACGCGTAGTCATGAAGCGTCGTCATGAATAAAAAGAAACTCGTTTCTTCTATTCACCATCAATAAAACATGACTTACATATTAGACCAACCTATCTACGTCAGCTGCATCCGACGAGAACTGTAATTCGCCATCAAGAAAAGAGATTTTTCTTACATAACGATCAAATATTGACAGGACAAATGCACTCTACGTGAGGAAATAATCTCGAATTTGACGATGCAAAAAAAAAAAAAAAAAAAAAAAAAAAACAGAGCTTTGTAGATCTAGGTATACGTGATTAATATGGTATAAGATCATCAAATTTGAGTTCTTAGTAAAGCTCGAAGCCGCTACTGATGATGGATTGTAATGCTAATTTGATGACCATCTTTCTATGCCAGACACCTGAAGTAAAGTATTTACTAACTTTAAAATACGCAAGGCCACAATATTGCAGCACCATCTCGCAACATTTTGTAAGGTTAAATTGCTCTCTGTCACTCGATTGAAAGAGGCCTTGATATCTATTTCATAAGCATAGTTTATGCAAGGACAGAATATTTTAAGTTTGACTGATTTCATTCGAACAATCATCATTCTCATCATCGTCACCGGATGTGATCGAATGGTCGCTGCACAACTGGACACCTGACCAACTCGAGAGTCGGCATTCATTCTCCAGTGAAAAGACAGCAGATGTCCTACGACTTGTAGCCTTGCCTTAGTGACGGACAAGTGGCCGTTGATTCCATCGGGAGAACCCTCTGCTTACGTCGTTTACTTTAGGAGGAGATACCGTGACATCACCGTGCTGGATATACTTCTGTTGGTTCTTGCAATTCTATATCAGTAGATCTGCTGGACTTGTTTAGTACGATGTCTTTTTTTAATTTAAGTCCTGTTGTCAAGAGTTAAAGTATCTATCTATCTATCTATCTATCTATCTATCTATCTATCTATCTGTTTTTCATATTTATTTTTCACACTTCACTGTATATCTTATGATTTTAAGTTTGTGCTTGCTGATAATAAATCCTGGTAGGACTTCTGGATTTGAAAATAAGCTGTCAAAATTTTACTTGAACTGCAACTGCAACTATTGATGGTGAAGGGAAATATAGTTCATTCATCAAGTTTCACACACACACACACACACGCGTGCACACACACACGCGCGCGCACACACACACACACACGCACGCGCGTGCACACACACACACACACACGCGCTTATGCATATACAAAACGTATCTCAAAGTTTTTTCAATTGTTTTGCTCGGAGCATAAAATTGTGTATTATCAAAAAAAATGAACAAATAACGTTCCGGTTTTTGTACCAAATAATTTTATGGCGGTACGTGCCGACATTTTCTCTTTTGCTTTGCGAGTTTATAAAAAAAA